ATTTTTTGACGAAAATGATTTGTTAAATATTTTCGACGAAAATTCCATCAAAAATTTTGACGAAAAATTTACAGTCCAAATTCTTCGATGAAAATGTGTCTCAATGAAATTTTCAACGAAAATATATTTTTCAAAATTTTTGAGGGAAATGTTTATGGGAAACTTTCGACGAAAATTAGATTATGTAAAGAATTTTGATGAAATATTTTTTTTGTTGAAATTTTTTATAGAAATGTTTTTCGATGAATTTTTTTACGAAAATAATTTCCTTCAAATATTTTTGATGAAAATGTGTTCCATTGATAATTTTGATAGAAATGTGTTTCGTCGAAAATTTCGACGGAAATTTTTTTCGTCAAAAAATATGACGAATATATTTTCGTTGAAAACTTTTGACGAAATTTGGATTCTGTAAAGAATTTACGTCAAAAATTTTTACAGAAATTTTTACCTTCAAAACTCTTTACGAAAATTTTTCAATGGAAATGTGTTTCGTTTAAAATTTTGAGAAAAATATTCTTCTTCGAAAATTTAGACGAATATGTTTTTTTGTCAAATATTTTGACGGAATTTAGATTCTGTAAAAAATTTTGACATAAGAAAATTCCTATCAGAATTTTTTACAAAAGTATTTTTCATCGACAATTTTCACTTGAAATGTGTTCCGTTGAAAATTTTGATGGAAATATTTTCCGTAAATAAATTTGACTGAAATATTTTCAACAAGCTTTTTTACAGAATTGTTTTCTGTCAAAAAAATTTGACGAAATTATTTCCGTGGAAAGTTTCAACAGAATTTAGATTCTATCAAGAATTTTGGTGATTATGGCTGATTCTTGTTTCGTCTCTATTTTCGACGTAATGTGATTTTCATCAAAATTTTGTCATGATGTTCGACGAAATATTTTTCGTAGATAAATTCTGTCGATATTTGAGACTTTTCTAATAATGTCACATTTAAAAATGATTCATATTTATGTAGTTTTCTTATTTTAATGCTAAGGGTATATAAGTAATTTTTAATATTTCCCCCTTTAAACCCTCAAATTGGGGGAACTTTAATTTTAAGAAGAATCAAGGTTTTTAAGGGTTTAGGAAAAATCCCCAATTCATTTCCCCTGTTTTTTTAAACTCACAAACAAGGGAAGGACTTACTAAAATCCTCCTCTTCCCTTCCTTCCCCTCCAAAAACCTACTCCCAAACAAAGCCCAAGGGTACATCTATGAATCACTGGTTCAGTAAAGATTTAATTTCATGCCTGTCCACCATGTGACCGATTTGAGAATACTAAGGCTTTGTTTGGGAGTTTGGAGGGAAAGAGAAGGAAGGGGAGCGAAGGGGCAGGGAGGGGAAGGAAGGGGAGGAAATTGGAGGGTTTCCCCTTCCCTTGTTTGGGAGTCAAAAAAATGGAATGGGAGAATAATGGAGGGTCAATAAGATATTTTTACCATTTTACACACTTTTTTTAGAATTTAATATAATTATTTTACTTTAAAAATTAAATTAAATTTAAAATTTCTAAAAAAAATTATTTATGTATTTTTCACAACACCAAAAAAGATCATATTTTCGATGAAATTTCTACGTTTTAAACGATGAAAATTTCATCACAAAATTATTTTTTTCGTCTGAATACTTTTCGTCGAAAAGCGACGGAATTTTCAACGGATAAAATTTTTACAAAAATAAATTTTCTATCGAAATTTTCGACGAAATTTAGTTTCCATCAAAAGTTTTGACGAAAATGATTTCCTCCATCAAATGTTTTAATCGAAAAAGAATTCTGTCAAATATTTTAAATTTTCAATGGAAATATATTCTGACGAAAATTTCGACAGAAATTGTTTTGTTAGAAATTTTGAGGGAAATGTTTCATTTGAAACTTTTGACGAAATTTAGATTCTGTAATGAATTTTGACAGAATATTTTTCCGTCAAAAATTTTTACGAAAATATTTTCTATCAAAAATTTTTGACAGAAATGCGTTCCGTTGAAAATTTTGATGGAAATGTTTTTTTTATCAAAAAACTTGACGAAAATATTTTACGTCGAAAATTTTCAATGAAAATGTGTTTCATTAAAAATTTTGACAAAAATTTTTTTTGCCAAAGAGTTTAACGAAAATGTTTCCGTCAAAAATTTTGTGCTGAATTTAAATTCTATTAAGAATTTTGATGAAATTTTTTTTTTCGTCAACAATTTTTGATAGAAATGTGTTTCGTTGAAAATTTTGATGCAAATATTTTTCGTCAAAAATTTCGATGAATAAGTTTTTTTGTGAAATATTTTGGAAAAAAATAGATTTCATAAAGAATTTTGACAAAAAAAAAAAGTTTCGTCAAAATTTTTTACAAAAATATTTTTAGTCACAAATTTTGGTGAAAATATTTTTCGTCAAAATTTTGATGGAAATATTTTACGTAAAAAAATTTGACGTAATAGTTTTACTTCAAAAAATTTCGATGGAAATGGGTTTTGTCAAAATTTTGGACCGAAATATTTTCGTTAAAAGTTTCGACGGAATTTAGATTCTATCAGCAATTTTGATTGAATTTTGTTTTCTATACAAAATTTATGTTAGTAATTATGGCAAGATCTGATTTCGTCTCTAATCTCGTCTTTAGTTTTGACGGAAATTTTTTGACGTATATGATTTTTATCAAAAATTTCATCACTATTTTTGACGAAATATTTTTCGTCAATAAATTTTGTCGGTATTTGAGACTTTTATAATAAAATCGCATTTAAAAATGATTCTTAATTATGTAGTTTTAACATTTTAATGCTAAGGGTAGATAAGTAATTTTTAATATTTTTCCTCTCAAACCCTCCAAATTGGGGAAATTTTTATTTTAAGAAGAAGGAGGATTTTGAAGGGTTTTGGATGGTTTAGTAAAAATGCTCAAATTCTTCCCCTCCTTTTTTTAAACTCACAAACAAGGGAAGAGCTAAAACCCTCCCTTTCCTTCCCTTCTCCTCCTAAAACCAACTCCCAAACAAAGCCTAAATTAGTGTAGGTTGTGTACAGCTTGAACCACAACTTTCGGTAGTTGGGAATTTAACATAAAATATTCATTTAACATTAGGTTAATTACATAACAAATTTATATCGAGTAGGTTTATGTATATATTTCAATATTTTTGATCTTCACCCATTTTACAAATTTGCATTTAAATTTGAAAAGAGATTTTTAAAACAGTTATTTTAAATTATATAAAGGATATACTAAAAAATTTATTCAGAAAAAAAATTGATTGCAAAAATTGCTTGGGTTTATTTAGAAAAGGCCTCGGGTAATAGTCTGCATAATTTTTATCTTCTCTATGCGATAAGGTTAGGAGAGACAAATACAAACCAATGACATGTAGAGAGTTACATACATATGATTAGAAAATTGTTTCATAAAACTGGTTTATATTTCTAATATAGAGAATGAACTGGTTGTTTGGGAACACAAATTGGTAGTAATAAAAAATAAATTTTGTACTCTTATTCCTTGACAAACTATTTATTAAATACATATATTTTAGTAAGCTTTTCTTTAATTAAAATAATTTAAAATAAAAAAATAAAAAGTTTTCATACATTATAGACAACATATCATACTACATGTGGACTATGGGTCTCTCACACTTATATATTCCTCACTTAGTTTATGTTTAACCGATGTGGACTTCATTACTACTCATATTTGAATATTTCTATCATCCCAAAATGATGCTCCTCGCTAAGGGCAGGGTAACTTCTACGAAAGTCTTTTCTTTTCAAATTTAGGGTCACACTAGCATTCTGCCGCCTGAGGATACCTCTTCAAATGCATCAGCATCTCCATATACTCGGCCTAGCCAAATAGGGGTGCTAAACGAGCCAGGGGCCTTTGGCCCGGCTCGTAAAGGCCTGAGCTTACATGTCTAAAATTGATGGTTGGACCAAGGCTTGAACTTGTATAAAAGCTCGTTTAATAAAAAGGCCTCAGGCTCCAATTCAAAAGCCCGGCCATAGAGCCTCTCAAGCTTGCCTAATATATTAATTTTATATTTTTTTTATATTTTTTATACTACTTGTGATAACCCTATCTCTTTCCTCAATCTATTTTATCTCATTTTGTTAATTAAACAGACTTTTTGAATGATTTTATTTTATATTATGCTATTTGAATATACATTAAATTTATGAATATTTATGGAATTACTAGTGCTCTTGATTGTATATTTTGTTTGAATAAATTTTTGTTGTCTTATTTTTTTTAAACAGGCTAAACCAGTCTTTTATTTTTTGTAAATAAGACAGGCCACAGGCTGAAATTATATTCATGACAGGTAACAGACTTGGCCAGACTGACACATTTAAATACAGGCTTAGCCTTTTAAGACCAAAGTTCGGCTCGGCTCGGCCCGTTAACACCCCTATAGCCAAACTTTTGGCTTTGATACCACTATAGAGAATGATACGAAAGAGTCCAAAATTCTTTGCAAGAGATTCTTCCCCCAATGGGTCAAGCGACAAACCACATAAGTGGACCAACATCACATCTGAATCCAAAACCTTAAGGCTAGAAGGTCTATGGGTCTGTCGCACTTACATGGTCCTCACTTGGTTCATGTTTTATCGATTTGGACTTCATTTCTACTCGCACTTGAATATTTCTAACAATAATCTCTCCTTTTTTTCATGCAAATGGAAATTAAATTGATTTGTTTTTCATTATGTGCAAGGATTAAGGGGAAATGAAATGAATCGGATAAATTTTGAAATCTGTTTTAAGGAAAAAATAATAATTTGATTTGGGGAAGATTAATTAAAGGAATTGAATGGATTAAATCCCCACTGATTCCTCCCCACTCTAATTACAGTGCTTAAAATAAGCTTAATTATCCCTGAATTTTTCCTCACAATTAACTCCCCAAGACCTCATTATAAATCTGAAGTCTTCTCCATTTTGTTTTGAGTCTTCATCAAGCATCTTTCATGACAACCATTATAGGTGAAGGTAGTACTATGTGTCCTTCAGGACCTCCTTTGACAACCATAGACATGTCCTTATCGGGCCAACACAGCAACTTCCCTCAAAAGCAACAGCCACAGCACGTTGCAAAGAACAGCTCTGCAAGTGTATTTGATGAAGAGTTCTGCAGTTTTGCTTTTCCTGGTGGTTCAACCTACAAGTATCTGTTGCCTAGCACTCAAGAAGCAATTTTTAATGCAGAATTGGTTAATATCTATGCGCCTGAGAAAGAATCTTGTGTGTCTTTGATCAAAGGACAGTGGACTCCCGAAGAAGACAGGTTGAATAATGACATTAACACTTTATTTATATACTTTTTTTTTTTTCTTTGTATGTATTCTTTAGTTTGATTCTTATATATTTGCACTTTTTTTTTTTCTTTTCTTATATAATCATAGAGAACTGAAAAAGTTGGTGAATGATTATGGTACACAAAATTGGTCTAGACTTGCTGAGAAATTGGACGGAAGGGATGCAAGGCAGTGTCGGGAGAGATGGTTTTATCATCTACAGCCTGGTATCAAGGTTTGTTACTCTAAGTCTTTCCCAAAGAGTGCTAATTTCTGTTCATGTTTGATATATATATATACACTTTATATGTCCCCATTTAAAAAATCCCTTGTCCCTATGATTGATTGCAAGATCAATTCAGATATTTTTTCTACAAAATTTAGAGTAATCAAATTGTAACAAATAATTACGGTTTAACAAAGATTTTTCAAGATATTATAAGAGCATACACAAATAGAAGCAGATTATCAAAGGTCTAACTTTCCTATCTACATGTTAATCATTCTTCTTATATTTCCTATCAATATCTGCTGAATTTTGAGCACCTAAATTTCTTAACGTATTCCTAATTAGTCATTCACATGTTCACTATTTTACCATTTAACTCTTGCTTTATGTCACAATTTCGTATTGTCCTCCTAAAATCTCTGTGCTTGGTCCTCGTGCTATTAGTATGAAGATATGCATGCAATTACACAATTATTTTTCTTTATTTCAAAAATTTATAGAAATTGCATTTTTGCATTTTTTTTATACTTAATTTGTATGAAAAAATTGTGTCAATAAAATAAAATGTAAAATATTTAAACAATCATTTTTTCTTGCTCCACGACATGTTGCAGGAAGGTAGTTGGAGTGAAGAAGAAGAGAGAATATTAGTTAAAATGCATGCCAAGATTGGAAATCGCTGGTCAGAGATTGCAAAGAGCATTCAAGGAAGAACAGATAGTGCCATAAAGAACCATTGGAATGGCACTATAAGCAGACAAAACTCAAGGAAAAATTACAAAAGGAAAATATGCTCGAATGGAAAGCCACAATCCTGTATTCTTGAAAACTATATTAAAAGGATAACACCTAAAAGCACCACCCACAACATCAACACATCCACAGCTTCGTTAACTACCACCCCCTCTAGCTCTGCTTCCGCAACTCATTCACATTTCAGTTTAGCTCAATCAGTCCCGGTTACCAATGAGAAATCGTCCTCACCACTCTTAGCTAGACTTGATGATGAAATGCTCTTGGTTCAAAATATTTTGAAGGAACCACTTGTGAATGTCGAATCATATTCCTTGGGTTATTACCAAACTAATGGTGATTCCAACCCAAACCCAAACTCACAAAAGATGTACTTTGGTGAGAGTCTCATCCCTACAAAGACTCTCATTCCTTCTAATAATCTTGATTCTGATATCCATCTCTCTGACTTTGAGAATGGAAATAATAGTAGTTACGTGATTCAAAACCAGAGCATGGATCTGCAGATGGAGAATCAAAATAGTTCAGAAGGAAACGAGGACATGGATTTAACGCAGTTGGTTTGTTCTGCTTTGTTTTTCCAGTAGCAGCTTCTGTCTGACGAATATTTAAATAATATGTTAGTAACTTATTATGTTGAGTATTTGTCTAGCAGATACTTTGTTACTTGTTACTGCTTTTCATTTATTACTGCTTCCATTAAGTGTTTCTGATCCCATGGAATTTTAGGTCAAGATTTACTATATAATTCACGTTAACACATACAATAGTGATACATTAAGGGAGTGGCTGTGACACCCTCCCCTGTACGTGTCCAAGGGAGTTGTCTGCTAAGTGGATTAGAGTCGTAATGAATTTTAAATAAATACAGAACTATGTATTCAAGTTACTAATTCACTGATATGATTGAAATTCGGTGGTTTACTGAAATCAGAGTGCGTCTTTACAAAATACATGACTTGTTGAAATAATAATTTTCCTGCGAAACCTTGTTGCCTAAAATAAATAATAATAATTCGAGTTCAGCAGCTTAAAAAAATATTCTTTGATACAAGGAAACTAGACATTCGGGGCTTTACGTGCATAAAAAAAATCATTTCATTCGGAGGTGTCTAGCTCCCGAAACAGAACTCGCAAGGTAAAAGATAAATCAGTGAAAATGTTCCAAAACTACCTGACTTGCAAAAATCATAAAAATCCGTGCTTACATAATTTCATTGTAAAGTTTATATAATCTGAAACTAGACACCTGGGCCTACGCGTCAATATAAATTATAGGTAAATCGGAGATATGTAGCCCCAGAAGTGGAACTCGCAAAGTGCTCGCAAAAACAGTTTATAAATCAGCATTCAAAACGTTCATGAATTGTTTTTGTAAAATATATCCAAAATAGTGCAAGTTAAGTGCTGACCATAAAGTCTCAGAATACACGACTTTAAGACAGGTTCTGACATTTTTCCAATATCACAAAATATTAAATCAACATCATTAATCAGTCAACAGCTAGCAGAAACAGTGGACAACAACATAATTTCCAAAGCAGCAGCAAACAAGCAGAACCTGTCCAAATCAAATGCTTCATAAAAAAATCCTTTTTCGTCTCCCTGCAATTTATAAAAATTGAGCCCCAAAAGGGGTGAGAAAGAATTCCAGTAGTGTGATAGTAAAACCAGTATTGCCACAATATTAGACTAGGTACAAAATTCTAAAACAGTCGCATCAACATATAGTTCCGAACATATGCTAACACATACTCATAGCGCGTATATAACGTCAAGGTACTAATCATGATGCGTATATAACGCCATAGTCATCATAGTGCGTATATAACGCCATGGTAATGTACATAGCACTGTAGTACACGTACTAACATACACAGTGGAGATTCCATATTGGCTCCCTCAAAGGTGAATTCCAACTGTGACCTATGCGGACGGAAGCCAAGTGTCCCATACCCTGTTACATGAGGGATGCCTATATGATGCGTGCTCAATCATATGCTTACTAATATTATATAATTCGGTTTCCAAACTGGATGCACAATGTTGTATGCCATGATATGCTTCGCACACACGAAAAGAAACAGATGAATTACGATGCACATATGCATGACTAGATCATCATCGTAATAGCATATTAATGAATAATGATTTTACCAGTGTAAATTACTGCGGTATAATTGTACTGATAAGCGTGAAAATATGATCAGTATTTTTAGGAAGTAAAAATATGACGTGGACGAGAAAATATGTAGGCTATGTATTTATGGGTTAAAATGGATGATTTAAGAAAGTTAAATGACATGTGGGACCCACTTAAATGATATAAGTGACAAAAGGACAAAGCTTCACTCAAAAATCTGATTTCTCTCTCCTCCTTTCCTTTTTCTCCTGTGGAGCTTCACAATTAATAGGGTTTGGAAGCTTTTGATTTTCAAACTCATTTTCTAGTCACTTTTAGGAGAAACTTCCAACTACAAAGTTGTTTCCGTTGAGATTGTGAGTGACTTTCATGTAGAGTGCACCTTGCGGGGATCATTGTGGAGGGAGATATACCCCTATTTCAGCCACAAAATTGGTGGGTTTTTGGAGAATTTTTGGGGCTTTTTGTGTTGAACCATTGGTTGGAGATCACTCCCTTGGACCATTGGAGGCTATTGGTTTTGAGTTTTCATGGAGATCATAAATTGATAAGGGTTTTGATTATGTAAGTTGAGTTAGGATAGTTAGGAGCATTAAATGATTTGTCTCCTTTGGAATTAAATGCTTAGAATGATAAATGATGATGATTGATGTAATAAAATTATTGTGATTTGGGAATTATAACTTAGGCAATTTTGTGATGAAATTTCAAGACTTTGTGAATTGGCATGATGATGGGATTGGATAATTGAGTTGTGGAGCATTGGTATGGGTTAATAATAGGTTTGTATGACATGTGTAAGTGTTGAATTGGATTGAAAACCTTGGAAGATGTTTCCTTGATGAATTTGACCTATTGAGGTCATGAATGGTTTGGTGAGGTAAAAATGGTAAAATTGATGTTGTATGATTTTGGATGGTGTTTATATGGATGGTAAATTGGTCTGAAAAATATTGTAAAATCAATGGTTGGTGCCTTGGTGCATAAATGGTTATGATGATGAGTTGGTTCAAGGATTAATTGATTGAGATATTTGAGATAAATGGAATAAAATAGCCTTTGGCCTAAGTGACTTTGTTGGTAATTATTATTGTAAAGTTGACGAATATTATGCAAGTGTTGTTGATCATTGTTGTTTGATCATATAGGTTGCCTCTCATGGAACCAATAGAAGTAGAATAAGCTTGGAGCTTACGTGGAAGAGCAATAATTGTGAAGTTGAGGTAAACTTTTGGAACTTGGGTTTTAATCCTTTGTGTGCTCCACCACACCTAGTGGAAGGATGCGGTTGGATTTTGTGCTTTTGGCATTGTGTGAATATGTATGTTCATGCATTATTTCTTGATTTTTGACATGCTTGGAGCATGTTGCGTGTAAAATTTTGTGATCTCTGGCTAGTATATGTGTGTGGTTTGGACTTCCGCTGGAGATATCCTTTGGGGATTCCGGTCAGGTTTTGCCGTGGTACCAACTCTGGGAGCGATACCAGGATGATCCAAACGTGGGACTTCCACTGGATAGGGCTCATGAGGAGTTCCAGTTGGGTTTTGCCATGGGGTCGTCTCATCCATGGGAGAGGCACCAAGAAGCTTCCCGGGAGTTATATGATGGGGTCCTTGAACGTAATCCTTATGTGGATGTTCTTGGATTTGTGCCCAGTTGTTTGTGATTTTGTATGTTATGCATTTTACATGATGTTATTGTTGCACATTGAGTGAGCCATGGGGTGGAGTGATCCTTTATTACCCTTGGTTTACTGAGATATATTTGTATATCTCACCCCGCGTTTGGGGATATTATTTCAGGCTATAGTGAGCATGGAGGAGCTTCGGGCAAGAGGCTTGCTTAGTGGATGGGTTGAGGATGATGTGCATATGGAGAGCATGGCATTTTGGAGGAGCATAATTTTTTGGACTTAGATTATGAACATATTGCATGTTGAGATTCCATGCTTTTGTGGTGTTCATGATTAGATTCAAAGTCTTTTGTAATTGATTTACATTTCATGCCTATGATTTATCTTGGTATTTTGGTGAGCATGAGACTTGTCCATGGCCACTCATTATGTTTAAAGGCATTTAGAGACTTGTTATGTAAAATTGGCCTTTTGAGGTTTAAATGGCAATGGAATTGTGAATTATTGTAAATGATGCATTGATTAACGAATATGCATGATGGAAGGGCCTAGAGCCTACTTTTGTACTTGTCAAAGTTGTATGTTGAGCACCAAAGTGTTAGGAGTAGAAAACATGACCCATTTAGTGCATTAAAACCTTTCAAAATGTGATTCTGCAGTTAAGGAATCGATTCCCACTTGAATGGAATCTATTTCCAGCATCACAGTGGCTGAATTTTACGTCCTCTGCTTCAGGGAATTGATTCCTTTTGGGTGGGAATCGATTCCTCAAAACAGGAGAGTCAATTTTTAGCTACTGTCTGTTACTGGAGCTGCTGGGAATCGATTCTTGGAGGTTGGGAATCGATTCCCACTGTACAAAATTTTGAAAATGAGTCTTTTACAACCTAGATTAAATGATATTACGGGTATGGGTTGTAATTAATAAGTTTTATACTTCCGCAAGTTTTGCATTTACAATTATGGTGTTGTTTTTAATTGATTACGGAAATGGTTAATGTTTAAAGAAATAAAAGTAATAAAAGAAAAAATTTACCCGTAATTTAATTAACTCAATTACCGTGATTGTAACTACGTTTAATACCATATGCAATGATAACATTTCCGGTACGTAACGGGCTATTACATTTTATGGTATTAGAGCAGTTTCTTAGTGAACTCTGATTGTTGTATGATTGTGGTAAGTGTTGTGTAGTTGTACATAGACTCTTATTGATTACTGCACATGTGGTTCCTTAGTGTGGGTCTGATCAACCCATTCCTTTGTGTTATATGTGTTGCAAGTTAAATGACCTTGAAGGCCGAAGCATGTGAGAGGGAAAAATTAAATTTTTCATGCGGAATCACACATGCAATCAAGACTCATGCTTTAAGACAGCATGATGTTACCTTTGTTTGTGATTCAAACACCAAGGATTGATACATTTCCTCACCCTATATTTAAAGGGAAGGTAACCGTGAGGAAATGTATCAACCCTTGCGGTTTAGGGTAAGCTTTATTCGAAATAGGGAATCTTCAATTTACTGACTCTAAAGGCAGATCATCTCATGATCTCTTTTACTATGCATAGATTCATGAGTCCTGTAAATGTCATCCCGATTTCTCGATTTACAAATAACCTAATCCATTACAGAGATTTGACGAACTCCTTCATCTTATCACCCTAGGCCTGTGCTCTTTCAGGACATGCCCAAAAGTATACCTATGAGTCTCCATGTTTCAGGAAGACGAGGTATACAATCAAAACATGCCTTCTAGAACACAGTCTAGGTGACAACTTATGGGCTAAGGAAAGACATACCCAAAT